GCCGGGGGAGGACGGTGAGCCCAGTCGCGGCCCCGCTCTCGGGCCGGAGTGCCCCACCGCGCCGCCCCCCTCCAGGCACCGCCTCCCTCCAGGCGCCGCCCATGCTTGGTGGGCTGGTGCCTGGAGCTGGCCCTGGTTACAACCAGTTTCCTCTCCCTTTGTGCTACTCAGGGACAGGGCCGGCTCCAGGCACCAGTGGAGGAAGCACGTGCCTGGAGCGGCACATACTAAGGGGTGGCATTCCATCCATTCTTGGGGCGGCACAGTCCGAGCGGCTTTTTTCTTTTTTTTTTGTTTGCTTGGGGTGGCAAAAATGGTAGAGCCGGCCCTGCTCAGGGCAGATCAGGACAGAGAATCTGGCCTTCTGGCCTTAATTAGTCCTTCTCTGTGCTAACTGTTCAAATTCACAGGGCTTTGCTTTACTTTGTAGATCTGTAAAATCATACTAAGTTACAGTACTTGGAGCAAACTTCTTGTAGAGAAAATATTTCTTTCAGCGGTGACATTCTTGCATTCTGCTGGGTATTCCTGACTCATAGACTCATAGATTTTAAGGTCAGAAGGGACCATTATGATCATCTAGTCTGACCTTCCGCATGATGCAGGCCACAAAAGCTGACCCACCCACTCCTGGAATAATCCTCTCCCTTGACTCAGCTGTTGAAGTCCCCAAATCATGATTTAAAGACTTCAAGTCGCAGAGAATCCTCCAGCAAGCGACCCCTTATCAGACATATCAGAATGAATTTGTGCAGCAGTTTGCTGTCCCCTTTGTGCTCCCACTCAACTATATTATAGATCTCTAATGGATGATTTCACCCACTGTGATCTGTCCACACTTCCCCTTGCTTCCAGGAAAATTTGAAAGCATTGCAGCAACCTCCTTCCATTCTCTGCCAGAATGAGACATCTAGAATTATCCGTGGCCAGAAGTGTATTGCTATAGGTCAAAGGATAAGAGGCTAGGGAAAGTAAACAAGAGAAATGAATGTAGAAGAGTTTACTTGGAGCTTCCAAAGAAATTCAGGGACTTCCCCTCCCTTTCCATGTCTTTGCTCTGGGAAATAAAATTATTTTTAAATGCCCCATTTAGAAACATAATTTAACTTTTCCTCCATTGACTGTTTTTGCTTTTCTTGGTTGCGCAGCTGACTACATAAAGGGCCTGATTCTAACTTCAGACATGCACATTATTTATAGGATCAAACCATCTACCTGGTAGTGATGTCATAGGAATCCAGGTGGCTCTTGTGTAATAATAATTAGATTTTATTAATTATTGAGTGACTGCATTTTCTTTCCATAGCTCAGATCATAACTAGAGCAGAGTGAACTACTTCTAGCAAAGAATTTATTGTCACACCCGTAGCCCTTTTCTGTTTGCCAGTTTCCCACAAACTTTGATCTTTGCTAATTTGTTCATTATTCAAAAACAATAAGAAAAATATTTATTCTAACATTAGTGCTAATGGGTTGGTCATATCATGGCTATTATTCCAGATGTTTACGAGTGGATCCTTGTGATTGTTCACCTAGTGATACTATAGTTTCTGCTCCATGATTGGAGGCCTAAAACTTTTTTAAAAATAGGCTTTAAATTATTAAAACATTATCATGTTGAAGATGGTCATGCAGATTCTTCCAGGGCGAGCCTTTGCACTATCAAATATTCACATGAGTGTTTGTGACACTTTTTACTTTGTATGAAAATTTTAGTTACATTCATCCAAATCTTTGACACAGGCTGGTTGTGTTTAATCCAGCCACGTTTGCAGAAAGTGAATTAGCATGGTTGTGAATAGCATTGCAGCTAATCTGCAGGTTTAATCATACAAAAGTTCACAGTATTCACCTAGCAGTAGTTATAACTAGCTTTCCATTACTAGTTTGATAGGCTTGTTTGTTTGTTTTTAACCTTCCTCAGAAAACACACTTTCTAGCTAGAATTTCTTATGGGTGCTCTCCTGCTAGAGGAGACTTTTTCAGAGCTATTTCAAGCTAACCAGACACAATATTTTTGAAGACATGGCACTAGCATAATTGTATTTTCAAAATAAAAAATCAGGGACACTGTGGTGACATTTTTAGGGTCACAAAATAGTTATAGAAAAGGCAAAAATGCACTTTACAAATGCGTGTTGGTGTTGCTATTGCCAGCTTGTGACTAAACAGTAGCACAAACATAATTCTTGGAGTGGAGAATATTTGTTCAGTACTTTAGTATTCTGAATTAGTTTATGGTGAAACACTACATTCACTTTGAGCAAAATAACAGCTTTGAGAGAGTCTACACTCATTTGACTTTTCTCTGCACTCCAGATACTGTTCATCACTTTGAACATGTATTCTACTTGACTTTGTTCCTGGTAACACACAGCAATGAAAAAACCCAGGACAGACTATGATTGGCATGGTAAATCTGGTATATATGTCTATTTTACATAAGACCACACATTCAAAAGAGCTCAACACTCTCAATTACGGCTAAATTTTCAATTGTGGGTGCTGAGAGCTTCTGAAAATTCTGCCATAATAATCAAATCTATCGCTACTATAAATGAGCACAATGCCACTGAAGTCAATAGTATTTCACCTGCTTATGTCATCTTTGAATTTGTTTTATGAGCTTATTTCACTAAAGAGTTATATGGATTGTACGTCACTGGATGTAGTTACCATGAGTCAGTACATGCACATGGCATCCATACGTGTTTAATGTGCTTGCTGTTACACCCACACTAGTGCTGCCCTCAGCCATATGAGTGGCAATGTCTTCTGGGCATGCATGCCAGAGTTCCCAGACCCCAGCCACATTACAGTGCTTTGAGGATGATTGTGAATGACCTTTGGGGACACCCTCATGAACAGCCAGGGGAATTGTGAGCGGAGAGGTCAAACTCTTGCAGCTTTCACAATTTGAGGACCCTTCCCCCACAACCACCCATCACTGTTGCGGGGGGGTCCCCAATTCCTTGTGGTCTGGTGCTCCATGATAATCATGGGTCTAGAAGTCACCAACTTTTAAAAAAGTTCCAGCCCAACCACATGGGCCCCAGTTGCAGGCCAACTTGTTTAGAGACTAATCTGCAAATGCTCTTTCTGGAGCATGGAGGCTGCACAACCCCAAAAGCTGTCACCTCCGGTATAGCAGGGGTGGCAGCATTACCAGCTGATAGCCCGACAATGGGGGACTGAGTAAGAAGAATGGGCCTGTCATAATTAGTTGAGTGAATGGCTGGATGGGCTTCTGGTGGGTGAAGTGCACGCAGGCAAGCAATATTATTAGACCAGGCCCAAGGGCACAGAATAGTCGGACTACATTGTTCTTCAGACCTAGGCTGGGCAGCAGTGGTTCTGAACTCTCACTTAAGGAAGGACACTTTTCTGGAACTCTTTTGAAGAGCTCACACTGGCCCCGAAGCACCAGAGTATCAGGATGAGAGCCTTGTTGTCTGTGTAGAAGCTTGTGGCAATTGGCCTGGAGGAACTGGCTACCTCTGATTGGTGCAGGTCACTTGATAACCAGTTTGGGGTCAATAAATCCTCTGTGGATTCTGCAGTGGTGGAAATTTGTGATGCTATAAATCAGTGGTCCCCAAACTTTTTACCTTGCAACCCCTCCTTACCCCTGTCTGCACCCCCAGGAGCAGGCCCATGGTTCCAGGAAGGGGGGATGCAGACAGGGGTAAGGGGGTCAAAGCTGGGGCCACAGCTGGGGGCAGAGGAGGGAATGGACACTCAACCAGGCCCCTCAGTGTGGGGCTGGCAGCCACAGCCAGGAGCGGATCCCCAGGTGCGTGGCTGGCAGCTGCGGCCAGGAGCAGAGCTGGGTGGCGCTCTGTCCCTGCCCCCTGTGGGGCTGGTCCTGGCCCCAACCGAACATTACTCTGAACATTACTCAGTGCCCCCAGATTAAAGACCTCTGCTGTAAATGATATGCTGCAGGAATGTGTGGTGAGGGTGGCCAAAGTAGTTCTACAAGCACATTTGCCCATTTTTCTTGAATATATTTTCTCTCCCCTGTTGTTATGTGAAAGATTCTCAGAAGAGGGGAAAGTGGCCAGTTGACTAAAGGGGAAACAGTGACCCTGACTCTACACTTCAATCAAGTGCCAACTGGAAAACTAAGAAAAATATTTTCCCCTCTAATCTTTTGGGTACAATAATCATAGAAGTTCCTTGTCACAACAGTAAATAAAGCGTTCTGAGAGAAGTGCTTGGATGGCATTTTTAAAAGTGCCTGAGGTAAGAACACAGGGGAATTGGTGCTCCTAACTCATGTAAGCACCTCTGAAACTCCCACTTTTTTTTTTTAAGTTGACTATTTCTTTAATTGTTGTATGGAGTGTTGTAGCCCTGTTTTTCCTAGGATATGAGAGAGACAAGGTGGATGAGAACTTTTATTGGGCCCACTTCTGTTGGTGAGAGAGACAAGCTTTTTAGCTTATACAGAGCTCTTCTTCAGGTCTGGGAAAGGTCCTCCCAGTGTCATATACAAAATGTTACCCTCACAGTTCCCTCAGGCTGCAGCAATTTGTACACTTACTGCTTCCACAGTGGAGGTTACAAGCCTTGTGAACCTCCACAGAGAGCCCATTGCTGTCAGGGGCTAAGCACTTAGCTCCCACTGATTTCAGGGGGTGCTCAGTATCTCAGAGGGGATGCCTGGTTTCTCACAGGATCAGGTCCATATGTGGTAAGGTTCAGGGTTACTAGCACTGCAGGTGCCTGAGTGGAACTTGTTAACTATGTCTGGGACTGAATGTAGAATTCCTTATACCTGAGCAACTTGGTTCATCAAGCTAACTGCCTGGAATTCTGCCTGCCGTGGAAGGATGAAGACTGGTACTTGAATCTCTGGTTTCAGGGTAAGTAGGTACAGTGCTTGTATGTTACAGTGGTAGTCACTCTAGAAATAAGATACAGAAGACAGGCACAGCAGGTATTTTATACCTGATGCCTAGAGGTTCCAGTTTTGTTCACCTGTCTTCTCTTTTAACTGATTCTACAGCCTTCAGCTCTCCAGAGATGCATGTGGATTACAACAGCAGCATGGACACCCTGCGGTGTGAGGCTCCCCGGTGGTTCCCTCAACCTGTCGTGATTTGGACCTCACACAATAACACAAGGGACAACTTATCTGAGGTCTCCAACACCAGCTTCAAGCTGAACTCTGAGAATGTGACTATGAATGTGGTATCTGTTCTGCACAACATTACAGCTAATACCACCTATACTTGTGTAATCAAGAATGACATTGCCAAAGCTACAGGAGACATCAAAGTGACAGGTACCGTACATTCCAGCACCACTTAAAGGCATTAGACATGCAATGAAGATGTGTTAACTACTGAGTGTGGGCTCACATGTTGTGGAATTTGGAGTTAGCTACAGAGCCTTCCCAGTTGCTGGTTCTAATCCAGACCTCAGTTGGGGTCGGCTGGATGGCTCAGGGGGACTATGGGACCTTTCACCTCCCTGTTGCTTGTTCTAAATCTGGTCCTAGTGTAGGGCTTGTCTACACATACAGTGCTGCAACTGCGCAGTTGCACCGCTGAAGCACTTTAGTGAAGTTGCTACTATGCAGATGAGAGAGCTTCTTCCGTCGGCGTAGTTAATCCACCTCCGTGATTACGGTGGTAGCTACGTTGATGGGAGAAGCTCTCTTGTCAGCATAGTGCTGTCTACACCAGGGTTAGGTCGGTGTAACTGCATCACCTGGGGAGACGGGGGGTTTCACACCTCTGAGTGATGTTGTCATACTGATGTAAGTTTGTGGTGTAGACCTGGTTTTAGTCAAAGAGAAATTTATCCAAGCATACCTGAAAATATTCTCACTGAGTAATAAAGTCCACAGATCCACTATGATGAGTCTTCAGCCTGCATGTAATTTGAGGGTAGAACTGGACCTGTCAGGCACTGACACTAGGGGAATGTACTAACAGTTGAGAATGTCCATAACTGGGATCATTCCGTTTGACGGTCTCTCATGAGAGACCGTGTTCACTATAGCTTGACAAGTCAAACTCTCTCCCCTGCTGCAGAGCACGGGAATAGAGCTGATAGTGAAAACATTTTGAAATTTGAAACTGTTTGATGAGCTCTCCATGGGGATACTTTTGTCTAACAAAAAAGCAACTTTATCTGGCTGACTGCAGTTGTTCCGTTTGTTTCAAAAATGGATTGCATCTTTTGGACCTTGTTGTTTTGAAGAAAGGAAATTTTCAGATAAACTCAGACAAATTTTCCTACTCTTCACCATGCTGAGGTCCACAGAACTGTCACAATGGGAATTTCACAGCAGTGTGCCTCCAGGGTGGGAAGCAGGATCATTCTTTACCTATGGACATTAAAGAAAGGAAACTCTGGATGCTCAACTTCCCCGTGGTGGGAACAAATACATGAATAAGATAATTGTGCCCTTCGTTCTGGCAGTCTTTTTTCTTCCTTTACAGATTCCAGCATCAAGAAGACAGTTCATTTGCAGCTATTGCCCATGAACATGGCATCAGCCTCCTTATCCCCTCTTGCCTTTTACTGGATACTTCTGCCTCTCCTGTACCTGATGGCTTTGTAGTGCTTGATCTCCATAAAGAAATGTGAAGAGAAGTTGGAACTGGAGGTAAGATTGGAAGAAGTGCAGAGGACACATCAGTGTGTGGAGACTGTCATTACTGAGCCTTATTAAAGCAACAGGTTGGATCCTAGACCTCTGTGGTTATGGTAATAGATCTTTTTGCTGGCTGAATCCCCCCCCACTGCCTTCTGCTTTTGAAGCTAGCATTACAGATGTGTCCTTTCCTGGGTTCCCTCATTCCCCCACAGTCCTCCCCACTTTCTCTGATTCTTTCCCTATGTTCTCTCCTTTCTTCCCAAATGCTCATTCTTCCACTCAACCCTTTCTGCCACACATCCTTCCCTACAGGGTCAGAGGCTCAACAGTGCAGCAGGGGATAGCGACAGGTAATCAACTAAAACAAAAAGCCCTTGGTCTCTCCCTACAGGACAGACACCACAGCTGTGCTGAGTCTGAAAAAACTGAAGTTTTTATTTTCCCCATTGGACTCAGAACTGTCACTATGGCCACCTCCAGGCCTGGGGGTATAGAGGGGAACTGACTAGCAGCAGCATCAGATTAGTGTGGGCTTTGCTGCTGTTACTGGGTGGGTTGGTTGGTTGGTTCACGGACCTGGGTTTAAAAAAAAATCAGGTGTGATGGGATGTTAATTTATTTTTCTTGTATCTGAAAGATGAAGAATTCCACAAGGATACCAGGCAAGATTAAGTGGGAAGGAAGACGTCCTAACCAGAGGAATGGGATACATTTTCTTACTTAGATAACATAGTGATCAAAACTTTGGTATTATCTATCTATGAAGGCTCTATCCATGATCACACAGCTGGAAAAAGGATTTGCCACATTGGATCAGATCATTGTTGCCTTGAGTTCAGCATATTATAATATGCAAATTGTGTATTTTTTCTTAAAATGACCTATAACATTTGATTACCCAGGCCTCACTAATCTATCAGAATTCTCTGAATGTGTCAATAAAACACTGGATGAAAAAGAACTGGTTGACAATTTATTTGAACTTTGTCAAAGGCTTTTTAAAAGTCCCATACTAAAGAAGCTATATAGTTATGATGCGAGAAGCTGGCTAAGAGAGAAAACAAAGGCTGGGAACAAATGAATTTTCATCATGGCAAAGGGTGAATGGTGGGGTGCTATATTAGGATTTTGGTTGTTTAATATATATATTAATTTGGAAAATAGAGTGAGTTGTGAAGTAGCAATATTTTCAGATGACCCAAACTCTATTTAGGTTGCCAATACCAATAAGAACCAAGGGACCTAACGAAGCTGAGTGAGTAGGCAACATGCTGGCAGATAAAATTCAGGGTTGACAAATGGAAAGTAATGCATATTGGAGGTAATAATTGCCAATTCAGGGAAAAGGCCTGAGCATCACTGCAGACATCTCAATGAAAATCTCTGCTGAATGTGCGGAAGTGAACAAAATGTTAACATATAGAAAGGATGAGAAGGCAAATAATATGGAGAACATTATAATGCTATTATAAAAGTCATCTAGGATATTGTGTTGGGTTCTGGTCAGCCAATTCCAAAAAAGATGTAGAAGTAAAGGGGGTTCACAGATGAAAACTGGTCAGGAACATTTTGACAACACACTTTTCCATCGGAAAATGCTGATTTATTGAAACAAACTTTTTGCAGAAATATCAGTTTTGATTAAACTTTGGTTGGAAGGTTTCTCAGATCCAGGGTGCGATTTCTGATCAAAAGCAGAGCATACCACACCAGAATAGCCTGGTGGTTAAGGGACACACCTTGGTTGTAGGAATCAGGCACAGCCAGGACTTGAACTTAGGGCTCCTACATCCCAGATCCACAAATGCTTTTATTGGTCATACAATTATTCAGGTCTCATAACATCTCTCTAGTTTTAGGCTTTCTGACTGCCTTGGAGAGTGAATTGCAGATGCTGGCTATATGCTGCAGCCAGTAGCATTTTGAATTTTCTCCCTAACTTTACTAGTCAGTTTTATTGTGTGGACTTTTTTGTGTGTGGTTTTTATGTTTCTATATAACCCTTGAAAAGAGTCGTTCTTCTAAGATGATCCCTAAGTGGGTCTTTTTGCATTTTGTGGGCAGTGCTAATGTTAGCTTGAGGAGGGGTAAGAGACGGACACAGAGCCGCCATTTTGGAGCATCTGACTGAATCTAGTGGGAAGAGCCAGAAGGCCATAGCATTCGTTATGTGGACTTAAACTTGTATGACTGTTTGCTTCAATTCATGTTCATGTGCCTTTTTAAAACCTATTTCACTCTGGCCAACTGATATCACATCTCGCCTCTTTGTTCATTGATATAAATGAACTTCTTACTCTTCCCAGCTATGTGTCTCAGCAATATCTCCTCCAAACATGCAAGTGACAGGACCATAACCATGGGTCGAGGAAAGCAAGGCACCCAGCCAGTCCACCCTTCCTCTGCACTTCACTCCTGGCACCCTTACGCAGCTCCTGGCTCAGCTTGCTGAAAAGCCCTCCCTTAGGTGCTTCACTGCCCCATACAATGCAAGGGGAGCCTGTCTTGGGGCTCAGAATTCCACTGGGTAGCAGGGTGCCTATGATTGGCACTGCACTGCCTAAGTCCCCTTTGAATCTAGATCCAGATGCTTTTCAAACCACTTTCTATGGGGGCTGCTAATTTCAGTTTTGATTTTGTGCCCCTCCCCATTACTGCTCTTTGGTTTCTCAGGCAGGCAAGCCAATCTAGGCACCTCTGTGCCCAGCTCTCAAACCTGGTACAAATGCTCTTCTGCCCAAGTTCTCTACAAACACCCATGGCACTCTTTAAATGTTGTTAAAAATACTTTTATTTACATTAGATATTATACTGTAAAATACACACAAACTGTATTGTGTCCAGCCCACAGCTGAGTGCTAAGAGGGGATGAGCACAGGTCACTCCCAGATTTTTAGCCCTCAATTGGCCGTGTCAAGAGTCTCAGAATGACCTCCCTCAAGAAACACACAATCAATTCCATCCCTCAGTCACTGACCCCAAAGCCCTAACAACAAACACTCCAGTCGCAGCCCACAGCCTGTAGACTCAGCCAGGGCTCTCTCATTCCTTCCCTATGGACAGAGGTGAGAGACCAGGCCTCAAGCTGAGTGACCGATCAATGTTTTGATCCTCTTGCTGCTCAGACCGCACAAGACTTTGGGATCTGCCTCCTGGATGTTCAGGCACGTCAGGCTCAGTCGAGCTCCCACTCGGGACACAAACTCCATCTCACCACACAGAAACCTTCTCAGCTGCAGTGAATCTAAGGAGAAAGAAAATACAAGTAGCTCACTGATAAACTCACATTCCATCCACTCACCCAGCACTGTATGGCAACATAAGACTCTGAGGTGGGCTGCAGCAGCTGTTTAACAGATGCTCAGCAGTGAAGGCCAAGAAGTGAACACTGCAACCAACCAACTGAAGAGACTGAGGAAGGCAGAATGCTGGGCTATGGAAACCAGTGCTCTCATTCTGAGGGAAAGAGCATTTTTACTTTTTATGACTGAAGTCAGCATTAAGAGCTATGCACTGCTCACACGGCAGGTGTACAGGGATAGGCACCTACTCCCACTAATGCCAGCACCAGCTTTACAAACAAGGAATTTACATCTCACGTGAAAGATGTTATCTCCAGCAGGACAGCACCCTCACTGAGTCACCCATACCACACACTGCAGCACAGTACCGCTTTGGCAGCATGCTAACGCCCTGGGGTCAGTGCCAACTGATAGAGGAGAGTCTCCCAGCAGCACAGCACCCCCTTGCACCAGTGTGGCATTGGGATCAATACTGATTGGTGGAAGATCTCCATGAGGTGCCAGCACTATGCACTGTGGGATCCTGCCAGCAAACTCCAATCCAAGTCTTGATTTGACCTGCTCTTGTCTGATGTCAGGATCTTACAGCTTCCTAAGAAGACAGATCTGTGTGTTAGGAACTTGTAGAAGTGGAAACTCATTCCAGGAGTGAGAATAAGCAGAAGTCACCACAAGAAGAAGCTCCAGTTCTCCAGAGAACTCTCCAATAAGGAAAGGGAAGACAAGACTTGATGTTTCTCATGTAAACACACAATTCTCAGCAATAACCTTTTCAGTCTCTCTCTACATCAGAAAGAAGCCAACAAAGGCAGATACACTCCCCTCTTCTCCTTCCCCAGATCTTTAACCGAAGTTTAAGAGTGACAACTATCCTGCTAAAAATTTTAGCAGAAAAATCCCACTTTTTCTGGGATCATGGAGAGAACTTGAACATGGCAGCACCATATTCCTTCCCCCATCAGTCTGACCTTTGAGAGACAGCATGGTCACTTTTCTAACCATAAATCCACCAAGCCATGCCATAGCCCTTCCCAAAGCACATGAATCAACATTCCACACAGCCTGGCTGAAGTCAGAGGACCTTGCTTTGTGAATACTGGCAGGACTGACAGCCTGGGTGATTTCCCCTGGGCTAGCTCAAGAGAGGTGGCCTGCACATCCTCCTCCTCCTCCTGGCTGCTGGGAGGATTCTTCCCCAGCCCTCTTCTGGTCATCTGGTAAGGAGACTCTTTTCTTGTCCAGTCAAGCAGCACTTGAGGCTGATGGTGAGAGCAGAGGGCACTTACGCACCTGGCTGGGAAATCTTTGAGGACTTCTTGTCGAGGCTGAAAGCCAGCAGGATGGGCCGGCAGATGGCATGGCTCCTACACAGACTCTTCAGGTAGCAGGTGACAAGATCTTCAGGCTCCTCCACACACTGAGGGAGGAACCAGAGTACTGTCAGTGAACGTGTGGAGTGAACCAGATGGCTACATAGGAGTCAGTGGACTCCTTCTCAACTAAGGCTCAGGCCCAGCACCGCAGCCACTGCCAGAATAAGCCACTTACCCCAGGCCTGGCATTGGCTCCTCCATGCTGAATGAAAATGCTGCCCCTTCTCTGCACATTGCTCTGCACAGCTTTCCACTCCACAGGGCTCAGGCCTAACACTGCAGCCACCTGCTGGTTCTTGCACAGCACCAGAGCCTCACCTGTTCCATCCTCCACCAGGATCCTGCAGGCCAAGCACAGATGGACAGAGACAATGGCAAGCGTGAAGAGCAGGCACATGTGAGCTCAGTGGGGGAAGGAGGGTTGTGCTCACACCAAAGGAAGTGACACAGAGTTTTAACTGGTTTTCCATTCATGTCATCTGTTATCAACCAGCCTTCACTGGATCAACTCTCACTCCCCTACCGTGGTGGTCTCTGCTTCCTCCCACCTACCTCTTCCCACTCCCTGCCCCCCCAGCACTTACTTGGCGCTGGCTTGACTCACTCCTGTTTGTGACGGGCAGGGTGGGCTGTGTCGGCTGCACCTCCCCTGAAGCAAGAGCAGAAGTCAGAGCTGGGACTGGAGGGAGGAGCCAATGCTCCCTGTGCCTCCCCAAGTTCAAGAGCTTGTTAACTACAGTCCCAGGGACAGTGTCTCAAGTGGAAGGAACCCCTCAGGGGCTGAAACCCTCCCGCAGGAATGGAGTATGCACTGGGAAGGCAGAGCACTGACACACTGCAGGATTTTCTCCTGCACAGCTCACCCACTCAGCCCAGAGCCAGCCCAGCCTGTGGCCACGCCAGACATCAGAGTCACATGCATCTCTGCAACTGGTGGTTTGGGCCCTTTTCTGTCGTGGCACTATTGTGTGAGAGGCATTAATGCTAGACACTGGGAAGGAGGCTCTGGCATTGGGAAAGGTCAGGAAGCATCAATTTCTCCTACACTGTATTTGACAAGGGCTACATTCCCAGCGAGCAGAGGGCAGACTCAGTAAGACAGCTAACGGCATCTGAGTGGAAAGAACATGACTCCCAGGAGGACTCCTCCCCAGTGATCCCTGTGGGCACCTCTCTGAAGATGCTGCTGCAGACGGAGCAGATCCATTGCAGGGACAAAGCCAGGACACAGGATAAGTGGCAGAGGATCTGGCCCTGGGACAGGCTGTGAG